CAAAACCCCAAAACCCCAAAACCCCAAAACCCCAAAACCCCAAAACCCCAAAGTCCCTTGAGAGAAGGTAGCAAGCATTATTGTAATTTATAAATAAGATATAATAGATGGGCCAATCAGCAACTAAGAGAGTAGAGGATGAATTTATGAGTCATGGACGTCTACCACCAACTGGACCTTATTGCTCAGCTTGCTTGAGGATCTTAACAACCAGTTATGAACTTCCTCAGTATGAAGACAAACTAGAATTCTTGTCAAAGAAGTATCAAGATGACGAAGAGTTTAGAGCTTTCGTAGATTCATTGAACATCCTCTACATAGTTGACTCAAATGATGAACTCAGTAAAGTCATCAGAAACTGTGATGAAAAGAAATGTGAAGAGATGCTTGAGATGCTTGAAAGAGTTTTCGACTTCAAGTATGAGAAATACATTGAAGGTAGAGAATGAAAACTACTCCAAAATTGAAAAAAAAGTGAAGTTCATAAAATTCTTAAATATAATTAGATATCTCAATATTTTCATATCGCTTTATAATATTTAAATTTAATGCAGTTGAGGAAAATGGCAACAAAGAGGAAGACTAACGAAGAGATGGAATGATATAATAATATGAAAACAGCATTATGGTGAATGATTAGTGAGTTACGGATATTATAATTTTTTGAATTTTTAACACTCAAACTTCGAATCTCATTGTTGTTGTCTTTGTTGATGCTTCATTCCTTTAGAAGCTGATTCTGTCTCTTGGCACTCTTTCCCTTATATTTAGTGGTTGCTTTCTTAACCACTACAGGCTTGAGAACTACATAATCTATCTTCATGGCGTTCATGAACCTGAACATTGCCAATGTCTAGGTAGTTTTTTTTATCTTTTGTCGATTATCTCGACTTCAGTGAACTTCACCCTGCTGCAATTGTCTCCGAAGCTTCCCACTCTGTGAATATCTGAACAGCATCTCTTCTGTTCCAGAAGCTCTTTGCGATTATGAGAGTCATAGAGATAGACTCTGATCTGTTATCGAAGCCAGGCACGCCAAACATCTACTCTGATACAACGATAGTATAATTCTGAGTGTCAGCATTCAACTTGCCTAGTTGGCGAAGGCGCTCCTAATCAACTCCTGCTTCAATCATAACAGGAGGAATACCAGCAGTGACAATCGCTTTAGTGAGTTCTTCATTGCAGTAGACTAGCACTGGTGTTGACTTGGCGAGCTCCTTGATGTTATTTGCTTTCTCTTCTAATGCTGATGCTTTGTAGTTTACATCAACCATGAGTGCACCCGACTTATCAATGATTGTATCATCATTTAGAGAATAAGAGTATTGCTCGAATTTCAATTCAGCGGCAACATTCTTTTCCACAATACTGTTGGCAGGAGTAGCAGTGAAACATATATAGGGAGAGTTCTGTAAAAACAGCTTGAACTTGGGTGGATCTTCAAACATGAAGTAGTTAGCTTCATCCACTATGATGAGGGAGTTATCGATTTGTATAAAGTCTATACCAACATGATATGATATCATGTCTTCACCCTCTGTCTAAAACAGGAAGAGATTCTAAAAGTCTGCTCTGTCTCTCTCCTTGAGTTCCTCATTAGGGAACACCATATGGATCCTAGTGACTGATCCGCACAACAAAGTAATCATAGCATTACTCGCAGAGATCCTTGACTTACCTTAGCCGGAATGAATAACCCATAGTTACCGTCTAGAACTGTAAAGTTTAGCAACACAGTATTAAGCAAGAGCGAACTACTTACTGTTAGGCTTGATATCGATACTGTCTAGTATCATAGTGAACCTATCATCGTCAATCTATGTGATATCATCCTGTAAGTAGGTAAGAATACGGTACTTTTGTTATAGCTCATTCAGGAAGTGCTGTATAGAAATGACATCAGCAATGTTAACAGTAGTCTTTTCTGCTTCTAATATCTCCAGCCATTAAGCAATGAAACTCTATTCGAGATGTACTTACTGCTTCTTTATAAGTTCTTTATTCTTTGTGCTGGACAAAAAGGATAATAGCTATCGTGTATCATCAAATGATATTGTCGGCTGTATTGGTCTTGTTTTTATATGTGTTAGCATCATAGACGACTATTCTTTCAGTTAACTGAATGAACACTACACGAATAGTATAAAGTCGTTGGCATCAGTCTTTTAGACAATGAGAGATAATGTTAATACATCAGATACTACTTCTTACTCAGATATTTTGAAGTACCTGCATTAGTCTATATGTTGATCTGTGCTGTACTTCCAGTATTACTTAAACCACTTAGCAGCTTGCATATCATAGTCAATGGTCACATACAAAGAGAACTTTTACATAAGAGATTCTCTATTCTCAGGGGTTTTTATATTGAGTGTACTCACGACACTTTACCAGCAGGATTATCCAATGATGAATGCAGCAGTAACTAGTCCAATCATTGATTAGTGAGTCAATGTATCTACATGGTCAAGTAGTAGATTGATACAGTCAATGAGTTGTTTACATTTGTTATTTTGAATATACTACTCTGCGTACTCGCATACAAACAGATGGCATACATCTAATACACTATCAGCAAGGAGCACTACCTTTTCTTTAGATCTTCCAATCATCTTAAGAGTGTTATAGAAAGTAAGTTGTCCTGTTGTTGCTCTTGTGATATAATACTGAGAGCTTTACCTTACTTTCTAGTAGTATCAATCTACATACGCATATCAGTAGTGTCAGCAGTGGTGTTATTGAAGGAAATAGGAGAGACAGAAAAAGCATCAAGGCTAGGTCTCCTCAAGAGAGTTTCGTACTTTTTTATCACCTCTTAATCCTCTCTATAGGCATTAACATCATCTTCCTATACTTCAAGTACCTATGGCTTGATAGTTTCACTGATCTCCGAACTTTTGAAATATGAGTTGCCTTGACTCCCCTTTCCTTCTTTTTTGTTTATGCATGGTGTGCATATTACCATTGGCTTCAACTGTGTAATCTTGTCGAACCTCTTGGATTCAGTGCACACGCTACACTTGATGTACATCCATCTTGTTGGGTGAAGGATCTTTCGCCTTGGATACTACAGTAGATTTTACTATAAATAAGATTATATTCAAATAGGGTAAAAGAGAGCGTTTAAGGGGTAAAAGGGAGAGGTACTTACATTTGATACAGGAACCACATTTATCGGTACCAGAGCAGAGAGAGTACAAACTATCACCAAGTTTGCCTTCTACTTGGCGGACCTTTGTCAAGTGGCGGGCCCAGTGTATCCCTCTTTAGAGTTTGCCATCACATTTTCCATAGTGGCAATGCTTGTCACGCCGAGAAGTTGACTTGGCAGACCCTACCTCACAAATAGATTTATAGTCAGGGATGAATATCTATTCAGAGTCATCGCTCTTGACGTCTTATCTTTCCTCTAGTTTGCAGACATTAGGATTAGCTTGTAATCAAAAAATCAGAGGGAAAATACTTACCATCAAATTTTTATGCTCTGGACGAATAAAATTGCTCGAGAGAACAAAAAGTGAGGTCAGAATCATCTATTATCCATGACTCAAGCACCTTAGGAGCAGCAACAAACCCGAGTTTCTTATAGAATCCATGTGGATTCAAGCCTTAGTACTGCTGTACTACCATGTAACCAGCAGAATAGTTTATACCATGGGTGGTTTCCGAGATGTATTACACAACATCTCCAAAAAAGATAGAGCCGATACCACTCTTAATGCTTTCATCTCTCACTTTGATGGTGGTTACTACGACAATAAAAAAGCGACATACCTCAAAAACAAGTAAAGCTGCTGCAAACTAGAGGTCTGTAACCCTTACTTCTTCTACCTCGTAGATAGGAAGGTATCAACAAGGTCACCCACCTTCATTTTGAATATGTTGTTGTGGTTGAAGAACTCACAAACTATATGCCTCTGGGTGGAAGAGTAGTCTTTTTTCTGGTAAGGCTCTACCACCTTGTAATTTCTAGCACGGAACCAGTCCTATGCACCCATGATTATTCTTGTCTGTGGGAACTTGGATTCACCATTGACGTATGCCGCTAGTATTTTGAAATCTTCGACCTGGTCAGTTTCAGTCAGGTTCTCTAACATTTAATAATAATATCTGTACATTAAAGTTATTTAGGCAAAAGTTAATCAAAATCTTTTAAAATATTTAATTACGGGGTTTTGGGGTTTTGGGGTTTTGGGGTTTTGGGG